TTTTTTTTTTTTTTTTTTTTTTTTTTTTTTTTTTGTGTGTGTGTGTGGCTGGTACAGGGATCTGAACCTGTGAACTTGGTGTTACAAGGCTGTGCTCTAGCCAACTAAACTAACCAGCCAGCCCCCAAAGCAAACCTCTTTTCAAGGGACCAAACTTGTTTAAAACATTTTTAAATGAACAGTTTTTGGTTACATTGTTACCTGTAACAGTTTCCCTGCCTTCTTAAACACAAGGTCTGAATTTTTCATCATTTCATTGACCCGAGACCATCACTGTGAGCACCCACTGCTATACATCATATACTGTAATGTATAACACATTTGGGGCCAGTTCTTTCACTTTTTATTTGTTTTCTGGGCAGAGAGCTGTCAATTTTTTTTATCGTGTTAAAAAAAAAACATAAAGCTTACCATTGTAACCGTTTTTAAGCGTATAGGACAGTAGTGTTACTTATATGCACATCGTTGTGCAACAGATCTCTAGAGCTTTTTCATCTTGCAAATCTAAAACTCTGTACTCGTTGAACAACAACTCCTCTTTCCCCCTCCCTCAGCTGCTGGCAACTACCATTCTACCTCCTCTTCCCATTTGGATTCATATAACTAGAATCATGCAGCATTTGTCTTTTTGTAACTGGCTTATTTCACTTAGCATAATGTCCTCAAGCTTCATTCATATTGTAGCATTTGACAGGATTTCCTCCTTTTTTAAGGCTTAAAATATATACCACAATTTCTTTATCCACTTATCCACCACTGGGCATTGAGGTTGCTTCCACCTCTTGGCTGTTGTGAATGATGCTGCAATGAATATAGGTGTGCAAATATCTCTTTGAGATCCTGTTTTCAATTCTTTTGAATATATACCCAGAAGTGGGATTGCTGGATCATATGGCAATTCTGTGTTTAATATTTTGAGGAAACTCCATACTGTTTTGCACCATCTTATATTCTCACCAACAGTGCACAAGGATTCCAATTTCTCCACGTTCTCACCAACACTTGTAAATTTCTGTTTGTTTGGGTTTTTTTTATAGTGGCCATTATAACAAGTGTGAGTGATATCTCATTGTGGCTTTGATTTGCATTGCCCTGATAATTAGTGACACTAAGCATTTTATCATATACCCATTGGCCATTTCTATATATTCTTTGAAGAAATGTCTATTCAAGTCTCATTTTAAAAATTGGATTATTTGTTTTTCTCTCGTTGAGTTGTAGAAGTTCTCTATATATCCTGGATATCAACCCCTTATCAGATATATGATTTGCAAATATTTTCTCACACTCCACAGGTTGCCTTTTCATCCTATGCTAGGCAGAAGTTTTTAAGATTGATGTAGTCCCATTTGTCTATTTTTGCTTCTGTTGCCTTGTTTTTGGCATCTTATCCATTGCTAAATCCAACATCATGAAGCTTTCCCCCTAAAAAACCTTCTAGGTGGGCTGGCTCATGGCTCACTCAGGAGAATGTGGTGCTGATAACACCAAGGCCTTGGGTTCGGATCCCATATAGGGATGGCCATTTCGCTCACTTCAGAATATGGTGCTGACAACACCAAGTCAAGGGTTAAGATCCCCTTACTGGTCATCTTTAAAAAAAAAAAAAAAATCACACCTAGGATTTTTATATTTTCAGGTCTTAAGCCTTGTTAATTTTGAGTTAATGTTTGTATGTGGTGTAATGTGAAGATCCAAACTCATTCTTTTCCATGTGGATATACAATTTTCCCAACAACATTTGTTGAAGAGACTATCCTTTCCCCATTGTGTAGCCTTAGCAGCCTTGTTGAAAATCATTTGGTCATATACATAAGATTTTATTTCTAGGCTCTCAATTCTGTTCCATTGCTCTCTTATGTCTGTCTGTATGCCAGTACCATGCTGTTTTGATTATTGTGGCTTTGTAATATGTTTGAAATCAAGAAGTGCAAGGCGTCCAGCTTTGTTTTTCTTTCTCAAGATTATTTTGGCTATTCTGGGTCCTTTTAAATTCCATGTAAGATTTTGGATGCTTTTTTCTATTTCTACAAAAAATGCCATTGGGATTTTCATAAGGATTGCATTCAATCTGTAGATCACTTTGGGTAATATGGACATTTTAACACTATTAAGTCTTCCAATCCATGAACATGGAATGTCTTTCCATTTGTATCTTTCCTAATTTCTTTCAGTAATGTTTTGCAGTTTTCAGTGTACAGGTATTTCACCCCCTTGGTTAAGTTTATTACTGAGTATTTTATTCTATTTGATGCTATTGTAAATGGAATTGTTTTCTTAATTTCTTATCTAGATTGTTCATTGTTAGTGTACAGAAATGTAACTAATTTGTGTGATTCTGTATCCTGCAACTTTGCTAAATTTGTTTACTAGTTCTAACATTTTTTGTGTGTGGAATCTTTAGGGTATTTTACATATTAGATCATGTCATCTGTGGACAGAGATCATTTTACTTCTTCCTTTCCAATTTAGATGTCTTTTATTTCTTTTTCTTGCCTAATATCTCTGGCTAAGAATCCCAGTATTATATTGAATAGAAGTGGTGAGAATGGACATCCTTGCCTTGTTTCTGATTTTAGAGGAAAAGCTTTCAGTTTTTTACCATTGAGTATGATGTTAGCTGTGGGTTTTTCATATATGGACTTTATTATTTTTTCTTTTATTCTAAGCCTAACACATCTGGTGTTCCCAGGCAGTCTCCCATCCAAGTACTGCTTAGCTTCTGAGATCAGACAATATTGGGCATGTTGAGGGTGGTATGGCCATAGTCACCTTTATTACACTGAGGTAATTTCCCTCTATTTCCTGTTTGTTGAGTGTTTTTATCATAAAAAGGTGTTGAATTTTGTCAAATGCTTTTTCTGCACCAACTGAAATGAAAATGTTGGGTTTTGTCCTTCATTCTGTTAATGTAGCGTATTATATTAATTGATTTTGTATGCTGAATCATCCTTGTGTTCAGGGGTAAATCCCACTTGGTCATGGTGTATAATCCTTTTAATGTGCTTTGCTGTTGAATTCACTTTGATAGCATTTTACTGAGAACTTTTTTATCAACATTCACCAGGAATATTAGTCTATAGTTTTCTTGTAGAACCTTTGTCTAGTTTTAGTATCAATGTAATGATGTCCTCATAAAATGAGTTTGGAAGTGTTCCCTCCTCTTCAATTTTTTGAAGAGTTTAAAAAGGATTGGTGTTTATTCTTCTTTAAATGTAAGGTAGACTTTTACAGTGAAGCCATCTGATCCTGGGCTTTTCTTTGCTGGGAAGTTTTGTGGTTACTGATGTAATCTCACTAGTTACAGATCTGTTAAATTTTTCTATTTCCTCATGATTAAGTCTTGGTAGGTTGTATGTTTCTAAGAATTTTTTCTATTTCTTTTAGGTTATCCAATTTGTTGTTATATAATTTTTCATAGTAGTTTTTCTTTTCTTTTCCTTTCTTTTTTTTTTTTTTTTTTTTTTTTTTTTTTTTTTTTTGACCAGTAAGGGGATCGCAACCCTGCACCACGCTCAGCCAGTGAGCGCACCGGCCATCCCTGTATAGGATCCAAACCCGTGGCCTCGGCGCTACTAGTGCCGCACTCTCCCGAGTGAGCCACGGGGCCGGCCCTTCATAGTAGTTTCTTATAATCCTTTTTTATTTCTGTGGCATTGGTTGTAATGTCTCCCCTTTCATTTCTGATTTTTGTTATTTGATTCTTTTTTTCTTAGTCTAGGTAAGGGTTTGTCAATTATGATGATCTTTTTTAAAAACTAGATTTTAGTTTCATTGATTTTTCTATCATTTTTCTAGTCTCTATTTTGTTTATTTCTACTCTAATCTTTATTATTTTCTTCCTTTGGGTTGAATTGTTTTTTGTAGTTCCTTGAGGTATAAAGTTAGGTTGTTGGCTTGAGATCTTTCTTTCTTAATGTAGGCATTTACCCCTATAAACTTCCCTCTTAGTACTGCTTTGCTGAATCCCTTAAGTTTTGGTATATTGTGTTTTCATTTTTATTTTTCTTGGGATATTTTCTAATTTTCTTTGTGATTTCTTCTTTGATCAATTGGTTGGTCAAGAATATGTTGTTTAATTTCCACATCTTTGTGAACTTTCCAGTTTTCCTTTTGTTATTTATTTTGTTTCATTCTATTGTGGTCAAAAAAGATCATTGATATGATTTCAATCTTCTTAAATTTAAGACTTGTTTTATGGTCTAACATGTGATCTATCCTGGAGAATATTCCATGTGAACTTGAGAAAAATGTGTATTCTGCTGTGTTGGGTGGACCATTCTGCATTTCCAGTTGGTCTATTGGTTTGTTCAAGTCATCTGTTTCCTTAATGATCTTCTATTATTCTAATGCTCTGTATATTATTGAAAGTGGGATATTAAAATCTCCTATTATTGTGTACCTATAATTCTGTAAATATTTGCTTCATATATTTGAATGTTCTGGTGTTAAGTGCATATATATTTATAATTGTTATATCTTCCTGGTAATTATCTTTTTATATGATGTCATTCTTTGTCTCTCATGAGTTTTTTGACTTAAATTCTGTTTTTTCTGATACAAGTATGGTCACTCCTGCTCTATTTTGGTTATCATTTGCATGGAATATCTTTTTCTATCCTTTTGCTTTCAGCTGATATGTGTCCTTATATCTAAAGTGAATCTTTGTAGATAGCATAGAAGTTGGACTTTGGTTTTTTATCCATTCAGCCACTCTGTGTCTTTTGGTTGGGGAGTTCAATCCATTTACATTTAAAGTAATTACTGATAGGGAAGGACTTACTATCGCCATTTCGTTAATTTTTTTGTGTATGTCTTCTAGTTATTTTGTTCTCCTCTTTTCCTCTGTTGCTGCCTTTCTTGTGTTTTATTCATTTTTTGTAATGACATGCTTTGATTTCTTTCTCGTTTTCTTTTGTGTAACTCCTATAGGTATTTTCTTTGTGGTTATCAAAGGGAATTATATAAAAATCTTATAGTGATAACAACTCATTTTAAACTAACAGCTTAACTTCAATCACATACAAAAGCTCTACTCCTTTACATCTTCCCCTACTCCTGCTTTTTGTGTTTGATGTCACAAATTACATCCTTTTACATTGTGTATCCATTAACATTGTTTTATAGTCATGGTTATTAAAAAAATAATAATGCTTTTACTTTAAATTCTATCCCACAATTAAAAATTATTTGTGCACCACCCATTAGATTACTGTAGGATTTTGGTATTTACCTATATATTTACTTTTAACCGAGAGCTTTATATTTTTGTATACTTTCATGTTGCTGTCTAATATCTTTTTGTTTCAACTTGAGGACTCCCTTTAGCATTTCTTATAAGACAGGTACAGTGATGATGAACTCACAGCTTTTGATCATCTGGGAAGATCTGTATTTCTCCTTGATTTCTGAAGGACGGTTTTGCTGGATATAGAATTCTCGTTTGGCAGTTTTGTTTTGTTTTTTTCTTTTGGCACCTTGAATATATCAAATGACTCCCTCACTCCTTTCTGGCCTATAATGTTTTTGCTGAGAAATCTGCTGATGATCGTATGGAAACTACCTCAAATGTGACAAGTTGCTTTTTTATTGCTGCTTTCAATATTCTTTGTCTTTTAGTTTTGATAGTTGGATTGTAATGTCTCGGTGTGGGCTCTTTGGGTTCATCTAACTTGGAGTCCTTTTAATTTCTTATATTTGGATGTTCATTTTCTTTCTCAGATTTGGGAAGTTTTTGGCCATTATTTCTTCACATAGGCTGTCTTCCCCTTTCTCTCTCTACTCCTTCTGAGATTCCCATAATGTGTATATTGGGCTGCTTCATTGTGTCCCACAAGTCCACTAGATTTTCTTCACTTTTCTTCATTCTTTTTTCTTTTGTTTTTCTGACTTATTAATTTCAAATGACCTGTATTCAAATTCACTGATTCTTCTGCTTCATCAAATCTGATGTTGAACCTCTCCTCTAGTAAATTTTTTCAACTCAGTTTTTGTGCTATTCAGCTCCAGAATTTGGGGGGGGGGGGGGGTAATAGTTTCTCTTTGTCAATATTCTCATTTTGTCCATGCATCATTTTCTTGGTTTCACTTAGTTGTTTACCTACATTCTCTTGTAGTTCATTGGGCTTCTTTAACATTATTTTGAATTCTTTGTTAGGTAACTTATAAATCTGTTTCTCTAGAGTTAGTTTCTGGAGATTTACTTTGTTCTTTTACTTGGGCCTTGTTTCCTTGCTTATTCATATTCTTTGTTATCTTTTGCTGGGATTTGGCCATTTGAAAAAACAGTCACCACCTCCCCAAATCTTTACAGACTAGCTTTGTACAGGGGAAGACTGTCACCAAACAGCCCAGCTAGAGAATCTATGGATCTCTCAAACCTTTTCTGGTTATGTGTCTTCTCAGTTTACTTTGAGAGGTTTGCCTTTTTCTTTTGCAGAAGCTCATGATCTCTTGTTCTCTCTGGCAATTATCTGTGGTGCTGCAGCTTCTGAGCTGTACTTTGTTCTAATTCAAAGTATATTGATTCCCCATCAGTGCTCCAAGTCATGCAAGACGGAAACCAATCCCTCAGGCTACCCCTGAAAAGCTGTAATGTTGAACATACAATCCACTTTTCTCTTTCCCTTCAAGCGAGAAGCTGCAAATTGGGCATATTCTCCTGATCACAGTGAGTTGTTCTGGCTTGAGGAAAGGGCTATCTCAGGTTGTGTAATGGCTTTTCTTACCCATTTCAATGCAGCTGTTCAGGGCTATGTATTTGTCTGGGATACTGCAACTTCTTAACTGGTTTCTGAAGTTTTCATAAAGGCTTTTTGGACCTTATATTATTGTTTAGCCAGTGTCTCTGTGGGGTTATGAAACCTGGGGCTTCCTATTCCTCCATCTTGCTGACATTATTCTCAGATGGCTGTCAATTTTCATTGGTATTAGGACAAGTGCACCCTTCTCCTACCATATAGCTACTCTTCCTAGTTTGCTATTTCAGTTCTGCACAGACCTGGGAAACCAGGTAACTTAGCTTTTTAAGAATGTTATGATTTATGTAAGTAAATGGATTATAAAAGCAAAACAGACCTGAGAAATTGAGGGTGAAGGATGAGACCACTCTTTCCATTCACTTACTGTTAGTTCTGAAAGTGTTTCCTTGGCCCAAGATTAACAAGTCTGACCTCTGAATACATTAGGTATTACTTTTGTTTTAAGAGAACTTAATTTTTTTTGTATTTCTGTAAAAACTAGAGTAAAGCTCTGGAGTTTCCATATAAGCAACATAAGCAACATTTTATTTAAGGCTTCGCTTCTGGCTGAAAGGAGAGCATTTTCTCTCAGTGTCTGACCCTTCCAAATATAAAATGTCTCCTGGAAGTTTCATATATTGGTTTCTCACTAGCCATCTTGGGTATAATCAGTAGGTTTATGTATCTTAAATTAGTAAGCCAATCAGCAAGATCATTGAGCACCCTGCCTCTTTGGGTATATGCTATATTTATAAACATGTTCAATTCAGATCTGGCCTCACCATCCAGTAATCTACTCTCAGAGAAAAACAAACTGAGAAGTAGAATGAAGTGGTGACTTATGCTCCAGGAGTCACCTGGAGTTACAGAATCCAGGAGCCTAATTTTAATTACCTGACTCACAACTGTCTATTTGTGTCTGAAGCCACGTTATAGAAAGATATCAGAAACCATGACTGGAATGAGAGCTTCTCTGCAAATCAATATTTCTGGTTCAAGCAAGTCCCCAAGTCCCCTGGTATAGAGACTGCAAAGTCCCAGGTAGCTTTCCTGTAAGGGAGCATTCCACTGTTAGCACCACCCCAAAAGAAAGAATTAATCCCATTTGCAACCAATATATAAGAAATGGCTAGTGATTAGCAGCTGTGGAGGACAAGTTGTTGGTCCCTGTGAGTGAGTGAGTGCGTGCGTGAATGGATGGATGGATGATCATTTAGTCAGTTCACCTACTGAAATCACTACTAATTCATGCTTTATTATATAACCACAGCCAGGGGACCCTGGTATGGATTTTCCTGGTCCTTTCAGACCAGGAGTAATTTTGACTGTGGGTTGGAAATTAAATAGGAGAACAATCCTCCTGCCAAACTTATCCTCCAATATAAAAAGTTTAAGTCATTTGGTTTCTCAGCAGTGAGATTCTTGTTCATTTTCCTGAGCAACTTGGAGACCTAGCTTACCTCAAATTACAATATAGTTTGCAGAAGAAGGTTGCATGGGCACAGGCCGTGATTGTCAGTCCCCGAGAACGGTGCTGCAAATACAGCCAGGTACGATCTTCCTCTGAAATCCCATGTTCAAACTGCAGGGACTCAAGGTCCTTTAGCATGTCCATTTTCAAGCCACCATCTCCTGCAGTGACAGATACCAATCGATTTGGCTCCCTGTCCTGGAAGAAGAGGGGTCTATGCAGGAGGATGCTGGGTTTCAGCACCTCTCTCCTTCCAGATTCTGAACGTGGAATTCACTTCTCTGTTTAAGTGTGTAGGTACTTGAGGATTCCTAATCATTGACTGCCCATGAATACTGGATTTATGAAAAACTGAACAGAGGGCCGGCCCGGTGGCGCACTGGAGAGTGCGTCGCTTGGGAGCGCGGCAGCACTCCCGCCGAGGGTTCAGATCCCATGTGGAGACCGGTTCCCGCTCACTGGCTGAGCGAGGTGCGGGCGCAACACCGAGGGTTGCAATCCCGTTGCCGGTCAGTAAAAAAGACAAAAAGGAAAAAAAAAAAAGAAAAACTGAACAGAAACTCAAAGTAATGTTTCTCCACACAGATTACAGGCTGTTTTTTCAACAGATGAATTTACAGGGTTTCACAGGAGTTCTTGGGCCAGAACCTTCCCCCTTCCATTCCCTCCTAGGTTTCAGAAATAGGACTAAACACGTAGGACCATATTTCAGAGAAATTCTTCCCTTTCACTAAACTGTGTTCCCCATAGGATAGAAAAGAGCCCAAACTAAGTGATCACTGGTCCCCTGTCTAGGGCAGGGACATCTCAATTTTAGAAAATAAACCCAGAGATACATAAACCCATCCACGTATATTTCTCACCAAGCAAACTGATATATGCTCTCCTGAGTACTTCTGTTTCTGGAAGGTAAGAATTACGTGTCTAAGGAGAATTACACAAGAAAGTTGTCATTATGACTCCTTAGCTACCAGATTGTCTTTGAGTCTTAAAGGGGCCAGCCGCACCTAGAGGTTTTCCTGACTTGAACACAAGGACACGAGTTCCTTTCACTACTTCTAGGAGTACTACACCACGGCAGTATAAGGCCCTCCTTTCCCAACAGAAGATTCTGGATTCCTAGTTTTTTTGCAGACTGGAATATCACAAAGATCTCAGCACTACTTATTTTTCCAATCCCTCCTTTGTGTGTTCAATACATCAATGATCTATTTTATAGCACCAGTGACACTGAAATCAGAATTCAAAACTACTCAAAGTCTCTATCCTCTTTCGAACTTTTCAAAAAAAAATTTGAGGTGAAATTCACATAATATAAAATTAGCCATTTTAACTTGAACTCAGTGGTACATTCAGAATGTTCTTCAACCACTACCTCTATCTAGTTCCAAAACATTCTTATACTTCCCAAAGGAAACCCCATACACATTAAGCAGTTACTCCCCATCCCTCCTTATCCCCAACCCCTGGGACCACCAATCTGCTTTTTTGTCTCCATAGATCTACCTGTTCTAGATATTGAACATAAATGGCATCATACAATATGACCTTTTGTGCCTGGCTACTCTAATTCCTCTTATAGGAAGGCTGTTACACCACACTCTCAATTTCTTTAAAAGCAAAGTTTCCAGTACTTGAAGTGAGGAGCACGGAAGTTCTCTAAGAAACACAAATCATCAAAACAGTGGGTAGGTCATCCTTGTGTGGCAAGTGATGTTTACCGCCCTGAAGGAAAGAGGAACTCAAAACCTCCCTTTATTAGCATGATCAATGCAGATATGAATTCTAGGCCTATCCTTCACTTAGGTATTCTCAAAAGTGAAGATTCAGTTGTTGCTCTGTAATATGTCAACTTGGCTAGACTGAACTACATTGTCCAGAATTCCCTTCGTGGTATGTTTCTGGTTAGGTTGGACCACAAGAAATATTTTTGTGCAAGATCTGAAAGGTGGACATGAAACAGCAACCAGTTTGTTTCAGCTTGCAAGGTCAGTACAGGTGCTTTTGTAGTACAACATGTTGTTTATCTACTGGCTAATTTGTTGTTGTGAGGCCTGTAACTGCTACACCTTCCCTGGGGTCCTCCTTCAGCTGTTTTCTTCTGAGCCAGGTGGTTTTCAGCTCCAAGACAAAGGCCACCAGCTTCTCCTGCAGGACATCCATTTCTTCAAGGTTGGAGGCAGTGAGAATTGACACAGATCTTAGTCCGTTCTCATGGGTTCTAGCTTGTCCCTGCTCTCCCTCATTTTATATCCATCTTCCCTTCCCCACTGCCTGCCCACTGGATTTCAAGCTCTGCCACCAGACATAAAGACAACAACCTTACACAGACTGTTTATCTAGCTGCCATACTTAAGTAAGGTCAAATCCCTGTGACAAACTGCATATACAGATTAGATAGATAATGTATATATACTCCTAGTGTGTTCTGCTTCTCTGAATGAACCCTAACTGATACACTAGTTAATAAAGTTACCGTTTGTTTGAAGATGAGCCAATAACTTTGGCACAATCTAGCCAATTAAACTCCTATTTCTTCAACAGCAAGAAGGATGACCAAGAAAGGAACTAAATTTGAGTTCACCTGGAATTGCAAAGGACAGCAAAGTGGAGGAGACAGTCTGATCCCCTTAAAGCAGGGTTTCTCAAGAATAACATTTTGGGCAAGGTCATTCTTTGTGTGGGGGGCTGTCCTGTGCATTGTAGGATGTTCAGCAGTATCCCCTGCCTCTCTACACACTAGATGCCAGTAGCACTCCCTAATGTGGCAACAAAGTATCTTCAGACACTGCCAAATGTCCCCTGCAAAATTACCTCCAGTTGAGAACCACATTGCTTAAAGCATGCTGCGTGCCTCTGTGTGAGCACTTCTCTTTTTCTGCCTACCACTCCATCCACCCCACAGTCACAGCAGCATGAAACGCTACAAGCTGTTAGATTATCATGATCTCATTTTACAGCTGAAGATAATAAGTCTTGAGAAAGGACTGACCCAACAACACATAGCTTGTTAGTGGCAGAGCTAGAGAAAAAAGTTAGGTCTTCTGTCTCCCAGTTCAGTGCTCTTTCTGTTAACCACATGGCCCTGCTTTGCTATAAGTACTGTTACTCTATAAGCTGACATGTGTTGACAGGCTGCTGAATGCAGGCACTGAGGCAGACTTGTGCTGGTCCCAGACATTGAGCAATTATTTCATCATTCCACACAAAACTGGGAGGGGAAGAAAAGGCACCAAGGAAGAAACAGCTTTATTAGGAATCTAGGCATGTCAGGAAAACCTAGTTCAGTCACAGAGAAGAGAGGCTAATATTGGTACAGGGCAAGAATCTAGCATTACAGAATAACCTCTCAAAAACCAAGCATGAAATTAAAACCTCCATCTGAATATCCTAACAGCAATGATGCTGAGTTTAGCCCAGGTGAAACTTCTAGAAGCTCCTGGTGAAATAATGAGATTTTTGCATAAAGGAAGAGTTCTCCAGCACTGCTGAATCTCAGCTCCTTATAAAGTTGTGGTTCTCACATAGGAAAAGTACAGGAAAAGATAAGGGGAAGGTCTCATTACCAAAACAAGGTCACTGAAGTGTGCAGGTGAGAGAGGAGCCATTTTGGGACAGAGGGATAATGGCTGAAGAAACACAACATCTGGGCAACGTCTGTCATAATGTGTAGGACACTGTGTAGTTTGGTATGACTGTGTCTCCAGCAGGTCCTGGGCAACACTGGCACCCTTCCTAAGGCCCCTGGAAGATAACCATTTTAGTTCTGTTCTGACTTCATTCAGAACAGAACTGCCAATGTCCAGCACCAAGTCCCAGATCATAATCAGCTGAGCAAAATGGAGTGGTGACCCTATGACACTGTGCCTCTTAGTCTAGAGACTTCCTTTCTGGAGCAGTCACTTTTCTCAAGAGAGATCTTACCCAAAATGGGCCCAATCTAGAAATCACTCCCACCTTCACATGAGCACCAGGTGGAGAGAATCTTTCTCATAAGTCAGAGCTTTAGATCTTGGCCCTTAGATGATGTCCCTTGGACAGAAGATCAGTCTGAAGCTATCTGTGCCCAGGTGCTCGTTTCTGTCCCAAGAGTAGGAGGCACTGCCTGTTAATGATGGGTCCAAGCAATGTGATACTGTAACTCTCCCAAAGAAGAAGAGCTCTCTCTCTACTTTCACAGGCAGGACAGGCTTTAAGAAATGAGGGCAGCTTCTGGGTAGCTAATGCCACTTAGTTCTTCCATCGAATTTGCTGTGGAAAGAGCAAACAATGAAGGTGTATGATCAGTTTTCACTTAACCCTACAGAGAGGTAAAATGAATACAATAAAACAAGACTCATAACTAGGGAATAAAAAAAAAAAAAAGGCAAAGAAGAATCAGATGGGGGGCTGTTGAGAATTTGTTTTTAATGTGGGGGGGAGTTCATTTATTCAGTGATGGATTAAACACCTAGTCAGTATTTTACAAGCCTGATTTAGGAGATTTACTGTGGTTCTGCCGTCCTCCTCTGAATCAAGATTCACTAGCTTCTGATGACTCTAGCCAACATACCTAACAGGGAACTAAGTTCCATATTAACTAAAAGTTCATTTCATGCTGAGATGAACCAGCTATGCTCCTTAAATAGCTTAAGTTTATTTCACTACCTCTTATTTCTAACAGGTAGGTCACATCCATCTCCAGGAGACCATATAGCCTGGATATTCTGAATCTGTAATATTTGTTTTTATACTTCCGATAGTCAGTCCCTCCTACCTGCAAGGTATAACAGGTATCAGAGCATTGCAGTTAAGTCTCAGCTCAGGTCCGCAGATTATCCAATCATCCTACCTCTCAGGAGTAATTTCTGCTGTTCAGAGCAGTGCTTTTGACTTTTTGACCCACAGAAGAGCCTCATATCCACATGGCTCAGCTAACTGCAATCCTATCCAGGCCTTGAGAATGTACAGTTGATGCTACTTTGTGAAATGTCTGTCTCCTGACATTGCTGGAGAGTAGGCTGTAACTGCTCACCGAGCTGCTAAGAATGGCATCAATCTTCTCCTCCTCTGCAGATCCTTTATCTACTTTACTCCTGTACGCTAGCAACTGCTGACGATCCTTCAGGTCCCGGCAGGTCTGTACACCAAAACAAACAAGACAAACCCTCAATCTGGTTTCTTTTTGTCACTATGACTTTGACCCAAGATACAAGGAGAGGCGAAGAGGCAACAGTGGGAAGATAGCGGGGTCAAGCACATACACAGCTTCATGTTGGAGAGAAGTCTACCGAGCTTTTGTAGCTTGATTCAGTTCTATGAATTCTCCAAGTGCAACAAATTTATAAAAGCACAGAGAAACCAGTCAGAGGGCTGGGAAAATAACACAGGAGTGCTGGTCTCCAAACTAACTCTTGCCAAGACTATTTTGTCCATTCAGTCAAACTTAATGGAAGAACTTCAGGATCTAGGACAGAGAATACTGTAATCCCCCACTCTCCACCAAGGATCTAACTCAGGTTTTTCATTCCTTGGGGACTCACATCAATGACGACATCATGACATTTGAACTTAGTGGCCAAGTTCAACTTTGTGTCCACATCTTCCACCAGATTGACGTATTCCTGTAATATCTGTGGGAAGAGGCACTTCTGATTAACCATCAAACACCAAGGTCTACAAAGTAGGGGGGGAAAAAAGTCCCCAAGAAGGCAAAAGAGTCCAGTATCTAATGTCTATATTTCCCATTATCAACCATAGGACTAGTTCTGCAATGGGAAGTGAGGTGATGCTAGGCTGCCTCAGTAAAGAAAGAAAGGTGGTCTGGCCACTTAGCTTATTTAGTCAGAACATGGTGCTGATAACACCAAGATCCAGGGTTTGATCCCTGCCCTGGCCAGGTGCCAAAAAAAAAGAAAAAAACCACATTCCTCTTTATCCTAGAGCCAGATACACATGCCAGCAATGGCAATGCTCTAGATCTGATCCAGTGCTATGCCCACTGCCCTTGATGTCCTTCTCAGTGATCTCTCTTTTTGTATCAGTTGAACAGTACATCAGTACTCCACACGGGATAAACACATTAAATGCTCCTCAGACAGGACAGTTTGGGATTATCTCTAACGGGCAGAGAACTTCCTTCTCTGACCTTTTCTATCTCAAGGGCCAGTGCAGCCATTGTGCTGCCTTTAAGGGAAAACCAGAACAGGCCAGGCATCATGCCATCACTGACCAGAAAGAGGCTAAAAGTTAGGTTTCCTAAAGTATCCTGTATCCAACACTCTTCAGGAGCCATTACCTGGACAGGGGCACTGTTCTTGTGCAAAATTTCCACAACCCGATGGAAGCCAATGGGTGCTCTCTTCTTGGTATAGCCCAGCCAGTTCTGAAAAAGAAAGATGGGGCAGCTGTAGCTAGGTCAGATGTACTCAACACACTCTGAGCTAGTCTGTTTTATGGTTACACCAGAATAGTGAGGTTGGGGGTGGGGAGGTGGATAGATAGGGATAAGGGATAGAGAAATGGTGAGATGAATTTTTCAGAAAAATCAAGGGATTTAAGAGGGCGGGAAAGATTTAGAGGTATGAAATAAGTTCTTAGATCTACAGGCACTGTGCAGGAAAAAACATTTGTGAAACACTACTAAATGAAATAAGTAACTTTCCTAATATTTACAGTGTGATCTTATCGGTATAGAAAAATATTCTACCTTCTACATCTTTATATGTATACGTAGATGTTTATTTGTAATTTCATAAGAAAAGGTTTGGAAAGCTACCAATTGAACTTTTAACAATGTTTACCTTGAAGAAGTGAGATAGGAGCAGGTAGAAAATCAAAAAGGAACTTCATTCTTTATGTACTTTCATAAAAGGTTTGATTTTGATATAGCCATGTATATGACTTTGGTAGTTAATACAAATAATCAAATAATTAAAAAGGCAGAAAAACAGAAAATTCTCAAACCCATGATGGAAAAATAGGTATTTAAAATGTAAACCACTTCATATGGAACCACAAAAGATCCCAAATAGCCAAAGCAATCCTGAGAAAGAACAAAGTTGGAGGTATCATACTTCCTGATTTCAAATTATATCACAGATCTATAGTAATCACAACAGTTTGGTACTGGTATAAAGACAGACATATTGATCAGTGGAACAGAATAAAGAGCCTAGAAATAAACCCAAGCATATACAAACAACTAATTTTCAACAGGGCACCAAGAGGACACATGGGGAAAGGACAGTCTCTTCAATAAATGGTGCTGGGAAAAATAGATTTCCACGTGTAAAAGAATGAAATTGGACCCTTATCTTACATCACACACAAAAATCAACTCAAATGGATAAAAGACCTAACTGTAAGACCTAAAACCATAAAACTCCTAGAAGAAAACATGGAGGAAAAGCTCCCTGATATTGGGCTTGGCAATAATTTTTTGGATATCATCACACCAAAAGCTCAGGCTACAAAAGCAAAACTAAATAAATGGGATGGGACTACATCAAACTAAGGAGCTTCTGCACAGCAAAGGAAACAATCAAATGAAAAGGTAGTCCACGGATTGGGAGAAAACATTTGCAAACCACATATCTGATAAGTGGCTAATATCTAAAACGTATAAAGAACTCACACAACTCAATAGCAGAAAAACAACCTGATTAAAAAATGGATACAGGACCTGCATAGACATTTTGCCAGAGAAGACATAAAAATGGCCAACTGGTATATGAAAAGGTACTCAACATTACTAATCATCAGGGAAATGCAAATCAAAACTACTATGAGGGCCGGTCCCGTGGCTCACTCTAGAGAGTGCAGCACTGGTAGCGCCGAGGCCGTGGGCTCAGATCCTATATAGGGATGGCCAGTGCGCTCGCTGGTGCTGGTTGAGTATGGTGTTGACCACCCCGTGATGAAGGTTGCACTCCCCTTACCGGTCAGGGAAAAAAAAAAAAAAAAGAAGGAAAACTACTATAAGATATAATCTCTCACCTGTTAGGAGGGCTATTATCAAAATGATAAGTAATAACAAGTGCTGGTGAGGGTATGGAGACAAAGAAACTCTTGTACACTGTTGGTAGGAATGCAGATTGGTGCAGCCATTATGGAAAACAGTATGAAGGTTCATAAAAAAATTAAAAATAGGGCCGGCCCGGTGGTGCACTGGATAGTGCGCCGCTTGGGAAGCGCGGCGGCGCTCCCGCCTGAGGGTTCGGATCCCACATATAGACCGGTTCCCGCTCACTGGCTGAGCGAGGCGCGGGAGTGGCACCGAGGGTTGCGATCCCGTTGCCGGTCCTGGTCCGGTGCGGGGGCGACACTGAGGGTTGCGATCCGTTGCCGGACACGGAAAAAGACAAAAAAAAAAATTAAAAATAGAACTTCCATATGATCCAGCAATCTCTTTTCTGGATATATACCTGAAGGAAATAAAATCACCATGTCATAAAGACACCTGCATTCCCCTATTCACTGCACCATTATTCACAATAGCCAAGATATGGAAACAACCTAAGTGTCCACTGACAGACAAACAGATAAAGAAACTGACATGTATACATATAAAATGGAATATTATTCAGCTTTAAAAGAAGATCCTGCCATTTGCCACAACATGGATTAAATCTGGAGGACATTATGCTAAGTGAAATAAGTCAGACACAGAAAGAAAAATATTGCACGATCTCACTTATATGTGGAATCTAAAAAAAAAAGTCAAATACATAAAGAATAAAACAGTGGTTACTAGGGATAGGGGAGGGGAGCAGGGGGAGAGAGAATGGGGAGATATAAGTCAAAGTATACAAAGTAGCAGATACATAAAATGAGTAAGTCTAGAAAGCTAATGTAGCAAGGACTATAGTTACTAATATTGTATCATATCTGAGATTTTTTGCTAAATGAGTAGATTTTAGGTGTTCTTGCCAAACAAAAAAATACATAACTATGTGAGATGATGTATGTTAATTTGCTTCACTATAATAACCATTTTATCATCTATATATATCTCATAACATGTTAAGGTATATAACCTATTATATACCTTAAATATATACAATATAATTTATTTAAAAAATAAGAAAGTGGTAGCCAGTTAGCTCAGTTAGTTAGAGCATGGTGTTACAACATTAAAGTCAGGGATTTGGATCCCCATACTGACCAGCTGCCAAAAACAAAGACAAAAGATAAGTGTTGGTGTGGGTGTGGAGAAAAGGGAATGTTTGTACAAGATTGGTGGGAATGTAAATTGGTATAGCCATTATGGAAAACAGTATGGAGGTTCCTCAAAAAATTTAAAATAGGATTACCCATATGATCCAGCAATCCCACTACTGGGTAATATATCCAAAGGAAATGAAATCAGCATATGGTAGAGATACCTGCACTCTCATGTTCATTGCAGCATTATTCACAATAGCCAAGATATGGAAACAACTCAAGTGTCCACTGACAGATGAATGGATAAAGAAATTATGGTGTGTGTGCGTGAGATAGAATGATATTCAGCCTTAAAAAAGGAGATCCTGTCATTTGCAACAGCATGGATCAACCTAGAGGACATTATGCTAAGTGAAATGAGACAGACATAGAAAGAAAAATACTGCATGATCTCTCTTATATGTGGGACCTAAAAAAAGTCTAATATATAGAAACAGAAAGTAGAAAAGTGGTTTCTAGGGGCAACGGGAATGAGATGTAGGTCAAAGGGTACATAGCTGCGGTCACATAGCATAAATAAATCTAACGTACAGCATGATGACTACATAGTAGTTAATAACATTGTATCCTATGCTGGAAATTTGCCAAGATAATGGATTTTAGGTGCTCTTACCTCATTCACAAAAAATGGTTAACTATGTGAGATGATGGATGTTAATTGGCTTGACTGTAGTAATCACTTCACTATACATATCAAAACATGTTGTAGGGCCAGCCTGTGGCTCACTTGGGAGAGTGCGGTGCTGATAACACCAAGGCCACGGGTTCGGATCCCTATATAGGGATGGCCAGTTAGCTCACTTGGGAGAGTGTGATGCTGACAACACTAAAGACAAGGTTTAAGATCCCCTTACCAGTCATCTTTAAAAATAAATAAAAATAAATAAATATTGGATTTGATTGGATCCTGATAGGAAATATATACAAAAACAAACCAGGGCCGGCCCCGTGGCTCACTCAGGAGAGTGCAGTGCTGGGAGCGCAGCGGTGCTCCCGCCGCAGGTTCAGATCCTATATAGGGATGGCCGGTGCGCTCACTGGCTGAGCGTGGTGCGGGCGACACCACACCAAGGGTTGTGATCCCCTTACCGGTCACGAAAACGGGGAAAAAAAAAAAAAAAACCAAAACCAGCTATAAAGAACTAATATATATACATATATATATATTTTTGGCTGACTGGTGCATGGATAGAACCCTGGACCTTGGTATTATCAGCACCACTCTCTTAACCAACTCAGCTAACCAACCAGCTCTAAAGAACTAATTTAAATATGGACTATAGGGCCGGCCCGGTGGCGCACTGGATAGTGCGCCGCTTGGGAAGCGCGGCGGCGCTCCCGCCCGAGGGTTCGGATCCCACATACAGACCGGTTCCCGCTCACTGGCTGAGCGAGGCACGGGAGCAACACCGAGGGTTGCGATCCCGTTGCCGGTCCCGGTCCGGTACGGGGGCGACACTGAGGGTTGCGATCCATTGCCGGACACGGAAAAAGACAAAAAAAATATATATATATATGGACTATATATATGATATTATTATTGTATTAATGTTAAGTTTCTTGAGAGTGATAATAATATTTTGCTTATGAAGGGTATAAATATAAATGCCTAAGTATTTAAGGCAGAAGTGTCATGATGTCTGCAACTTTCAAATGGCTCAGAAAAAAAATGCATGTGTACAGAAAAAGAAATTTAATATAGCAAAAATGCTAATAAATTAGTAAAGTAGGTAAAGACCATTAATGTTCATTATACTATTCTTTTGACTTTTCTCTAAGTTTGAAATTTTGGAAAATAAAATTTGGAGAAAAAATGTAAACCAGTTATTAGAATTTAGGATATGACGACCCTTCTTTCTCCCAAGACCTCAGCAGCACAAAATGGTTCCAGGGCACCCACCTTTGTGGTGAAGAGGGCATCTACATCGTGCCAGGCTCGAAGCTTGGCGCGAGCAGCCAGGGCTGTCAGCACATATTGTTTGTCTGGGATCTAGAAAACAGAGACCAAAAGAAATTAAGGGAAGTAGAAATGTATTGGTGGAGGTGCTTAAGAATTTTAGAAAAGATAAGCATAAATATTCCCTGGTATTGCTTCTGTCCCTTAAAATCAACAAATTTCTCAAGTCGTCAGGAAACCCTTCATTCCTGGCCCTTTACTGCTACAGGACATTCAGGTAAAGTCTTCTTTCCCCTCCCACAAACTCATTCCTTTCTATTTTTAACCTTGAATATCAAAGGACTTACATACAAGGTTACAAAGCAACATCCACTCCAAGTAGTTACCCTGACACTACTTTTACAAAACACTGACCAATTTCTATTTACCTTAAATGTCTTCTTCAGGTTGATGGGACTGCTGAATGTCCCCTAGGATGAAAGTAGAAAAGGAACTTCAATGATACTGACTCTCCCATATATGACCCAATCTCCCATTTTCTTTTTCACTACTCTGTAACCATTTAAACCCAGAAATTAATTTAAGAGAAAAGCTCCATTGGGTCTAATCAGATATCACCACAACCTGTCTTATCAGGAATTGGCTTAGTAAGTATGATGCTTTTTCCAACTTTCTGCTCACCCAAATAAGACAGAAATGTCCACCTTATCATTAAATCCAAACTTCTTTGAAAAAATGTTTTCAAAAAAGTATCCATAGCTATCTGACATGCTGCTGCTCTTCTCCTCTATACCATGCCAATCCATGTGAAATGATAGACCTTTGAACAGAAACTGCTGTGGGAACCAGCACCAGAGATAGAACTTGCTACGTTAGTGTGCCAGCTCACTTGGAACCACCATGTAAACCTCTTTTTCCCTCTTGGCTCACCCCCACCGAGAGCCAGTAAAGCTTCCAGGTGGATTTCTGAGAACTATACACACCCACTGTGAATAAAGTACATCAAAATACTAAATTTGAACTATGGTTTTCCTGCACAATGAAAGTTTGAGGTGTCTTTCACATTTTGCCTTTACCTCAGCCTCCGTGTAATGATAGAAGCAGGAGTAGAAAAGTGTTGTCACTAATGGCATGTTGAGGATGGAAGCTTTGCGGGGGTGCTTTCGGAAGATCTCAGTCTGTCCTGCTAATTCTAGATGTCGATCATTTGCCTGTGGTGGAGAAAGCCAAATGAAAAAAAAGAACAATGTTCATGGAGTAGAGGCAGGAGAAAAACCCTTTACTGTTAAAGCAGTTGTGTTTCCTGCCTTCAGAATGAAGGAAAGGAGAGAAAAAGAAATTTTCTAGGATACCCCAGGAGAGTTTAAAATCCATAAAACAATCATGGGTCCAAGTTGTATGGAGAAAGATTAGAGCAGTGGTGATGACATGGGAGATTTGGGCTGAAGAGTTAATACTTCCAGGTTGACAGCAGATGAGAAGAAAAAGGATGCCTGAGAATAATAGAGGATGGGGCTATCGTGTAGAGGGAGAAAATGTAAGGCTTTTAGAGACTGTAACAGGAAATGACGTATATGTGCAGAGCATAGAAATCTCTTAGATGCTGAACGGCACTGAGCCTTGGCACTGAAGCAGAAAATGTAGAGATGAGGAGTCTAACCTCAATAATGATCTGACGTTCCAGGAGCGTGTAATGGTCTTGTACGTGTGCAGAATCTTCTGCTGAAAATGGCAAACTGGTAGAGGGCCAGAAGGTTAGTACCTCTTTCTCTACTCAAAAAGGAAACAAACCCAACTAAACCAAATCATCACTGCAAGCATAAGAGGCTGACGTTGCTTCACAAGTCTGATCTCAATTCACCTTTAAGAGCATTCCTTAAAGGCAGAGACAGAAAGCAGAAAATAGAGTAGACCTTTGGCTTAGATTTATATTTAAGGTTTTGCCAACACAAGAGGGATCCTGAAAGTCCATAAAATACATAAGAGTCATTAGTGATTCTGCAGAGGAATGAATTAGAATCCTCTCATTTTGGGAACTGGAAAGTTTGGCAAATGAGTCACATAGATAGTGAGCTAGCCTAGCCAAATGACCATCATTCATGTCCCAGTAAAGCTCTGTGGTTTGTGTCATTGCTTAACTGTACTTAAGGGGCAGTCAAATTTGTCAGCCATTTTTTTGTTGCAGAGTAATAAAGGTAAATTACATGCCATGGTGGTATGTTTATAGATTGGCGAAGATCACAAAGATCTACACAAATGTCATGGGTCCATCTCCAACACTATATTATGTTTTTACACATGATGAAGTTGAGGGACAGTGTCTTGCCTAAAAGTCATATGGCAAGTCAGTGGGTAAGGCCAGGAATAGAAGCCAGATTTTAAACTCCCAGTTCATAGATCTATTCTTTAGAAAATGCTTCCTTATTCCTCTACTCCACTCACCCCAGGAAGAATTCTGAAGTCAGATTACACTATCTCAGGTGAGTGTGAGCCACTGTGAATTTTTAGAAGAGATAATGGGAGATAGCAAAAGTTTCCATTACTTCACTATTCTAATTTTTCTGTTTTCCAGAGACCGTATGATATAGCTCAGTATTTGACAACATTAAAATTAAGGATTTTACTCATATAAACAAAATTCTAAATGTAAAGCTTGGAAATCATGTCACACGAGGAATGGCTGAAATAACTGTGAACACTGAACTTGGAGAAGCAAGGACTATTGGATAGACTCTATACCTGTCTTGAAAGATACAGGGAAATGAGTTTCAGCTTAACACGAGAAAGCACTTTCCCATGATAAAGGATGTCCGACAATAAAATGAGCTACTTTCAAGAGCAGTGAACACGCATCACAGGAATAGTAATATGTGGGGCTGGTTTTTGCAAGCATTTTTTTTTTTAAAGATGACCAGTAAGGGGCCGGCCCGGTGGCGCACTGGAGAGTGCACCGCCTGGGAGCATGGCGGCGCTCCCGCCGAGGGTTCGGATCCCATGTGGAGACCGGTTCCCGCTCACCAGTTGAGCGCGGTGCGGGCACGACACCGAGGGTTGCGATCCCGTTGCTGGTCCCCGGTGCGGGCGCGACACTGAGGGTTGCGATCCCGTTACCGGTCAGTAAAAAAAGACAAAAAGGAAAAAAAAAAAAAAAGATGACCAGTAAGGGGATCTTAACCCTTGACTTGGTGTTGTCAGCACCACACTCACCCAGCGAGCAACCGGCTATCCCTACATGGGATCCGAACCCGTGGCCTTGCTGTTATCAGCACCACACTCTCCCGAGTGAGCCACGGGGCTGGCCTTTGCAAGCATTTATATTCAGGATGAAAGCCTGCACTGTACCACTGCTTCTTGAACTTTGGAGTTTCAAGGACCAATAATGTTGAAAAACTACATAAGATCCATAAAGTGTTGCCAACTTTTTATTTTATTACATAAGATCATTAAAAAAATTACAACCTATTTTACTATCAAAAAAGAGGGGAGAGGCAAGGACAAAATCCCAGAATAAAAGGCAGTCTTTCAAATTAAATAAATTAAGCTTTACAAAAAAAAATCTACATTGTCTTTATTTTTCTCACTTTACCACCAATCAGTGAAAGCTCTGTTGGGAGGCTGGCTGGTTGGCTCACTTGGGAGAGCATGGTGCTGATAACACCAAGATCAGGTGTTCGGATCCCACTACTTGCCAGCCGCCAAAATTTAAAAAAAAAAAAAAGAAAGAAAGAAAGACTGTTGGGGACTAGTGTTTGGGAAACACTGAATGAGAGACTTTTAATGATGCTTGTATCACTGTTAGTCTTTCCCTTCTTGTCTGTCCATTCTACCCCCTTTTATTCTCTTCATTTCTTCTGTATAAAGGTACTTATACAACGCCCCCCCCCCCTTACTTACCCAATGCAGGTCTTAAGAAATTCTTTTCGTTTCTCAGGGTCCTGAATGTTCAAATGCTCTTGATAATGAGATAGCTACAAAAAACAGAGAAAGGCTTTGAGCAATTTTGTCTCCTTAGAAAAGGGAGGTAGCTGAGAGCTCTCCATGCTTAAAAGAAAACAAATTCCTTATTCTCAGAAATTCATTGAGTGTGGATGGTTATGTGTGCATCAGGGGTGGGGTAGGAGCAAAGAGTAATTCAAATCATTTAGTAGGTTTATCTATAACTGCACTGTCCAATTTGGTAGCCACTACCTACACTTGGTTGTTTAAATCTAAATTAGTTAAATTAGAAATTCAGGTCCTTAGTTGTACTAGGCACTCAATAGCTGCATGTGCCTAGTGGCTACCATATCAGACAGCACAAATAAAGAGAATTCCCATCATTGTGGGAAGTTCTATCAGACAGTAGTGATCTATAATGAAGTACCAAGTAGACAGAGTACCTACCTTTACCCTGAAGTTTAGCTTTAGCCTCAGTATTTAACTGAAACTGGCTATTTTTGCTTTAGCCTTAGCTTTTGAAAGTCCAAAGAGCTAAATGCTTATTTCAATGTTATTTTTGGCATCCTTGACCACGTACATGATCAGTGGTACTATGATCATGTAAATAGCTAACAATATCAGTAATACAAATAGGACACGTCATTCTGATTCACTGTTCGTAGCTAAATATTTATATTCAAATATTATAGGTTCTACATGTAACTCTGAAAGAAAATCTCCATATGTGCTTTCTATTTTGAAATTCTAAAAAAGAAAACCTGAAGTATGTCTGTTCTTACATGAGTTAAATGATGCAATAATTAGTGATGATTATGAAAGTTGTAATTTTACATACAATTATTTAAAACTTCACAAGAAATGAAAAATGAACAGATTGACAGTTAATACGAATATAAAGAGAATGAACTGGCTTTAGGAAGAACAGTATATCCTTTTAGATCTAACAGATATACATAACAATGTAAATGATAATATAAGACAGAACAACAGAAATTACATTATATTATAATCTAAGCTTGGTAAAATATTTGGTATATAATCATTCCTAAATTAAAGAAAGTAACCTTTAAGAGCTATAGTTAATTTTTTGTTATGCAATTCTATTTCAGCCTTAAGTTTTTCAAAAAAAAGTTCTACTTGGGAAATCTTCATATTCTTTTTTTTTTTTTTCTGTCCTTTTTGAGACCGGCCACACCGCACTCAGTCAGTGAGCGCTGTGAGCGCACCGGTCATCCCTATACAGGATCTGAACCCACAGCGGGAGTGCTGCTGTGCTCCCAGCGCCGCACTCTCCCGAGTGCGCCACGGGCTCGGCCCGAAATCTTCATATTCTATGAAAATAAATTAAAAGCCACTTTGCCACTTCCAAAGTTTACAAGGTTGGAAAACTCCAAATTTATATACAACAATATGGATGATAAATCATCAATTCAAATATGATTATGAAGAAAAAGTTTTAGATAAAAATGAGTTACTCAAAACATTTTATTCTCACTAATTAAACTTCAAAACAACAAACTTTACGAGAGTAACATATGAAGAAAATTCCTTATAGTTTTGAACCTATGGAGGTGTTTATAAAAATATAAACAAAGTTTTTCAAAATGATTACTAAAGACTGCCAATCACTCTCAGTAGGTTAAGATACAGGATTTTTCAGACTTTCTTACAGACTGCCAATCACTTTCAGTGGGTGATTTCAATCACTTTTTGAATATTAAGTATAAATTACTTTTAGAAAACATGTTACTGGTGCTGCTCAGCTAGCTCAGTTGGTTAGAGCACAGACTTGTAATACCAAGGTCATAGATTTGGATCCTTGAACCCACCAGCCACCAAAAGAAAAAAAAGGCTTTAGAAAACATGTTACTGAATTATATTCTGCTGTGCAAAGAAGGTTAACAATATTATTAAATGTGCCAGCTGAATGTGTGCATCGATACCCTCACAAATGTGGTATACAGTGGTTAGAGAACAATCCCACCATTGACAGTGCTGAGAAATTCTTATTCCTGTACTATACTGCCAAACTTTAAAAAATGGACAGCTAAAGTTTTAATAATACAATTAAGTTTTTGGCAAAATTTCATATTTATTCTTGTATTCCAGGAATTCATCCTATGATTGTGAAAATCTGCCAAAAATCAGTTTTAACACTTGGCTACTGAGCTCTCAGCCAAAATGTATAATGGCTGTACTACCAGGTTGACCTATCTCCCTTCTTTTTTTTTTTTTTTTTTTTGTCTTTTTGTCTTTTTTCGTGACCGGCAACGGATTGCAACCCTCGGTGTTGCCCCCGCTCCTCGCTCAGCCAGTGAGCGGCCAGTCTGCATGTGGGACCCGAACCCTCGGTGGGAGCGCCGCCGCCCTTCCCAAGTGGTGCACTGTAGCAGTGTGCCACCGGGCCGGCCCCCTATCTCCCTTCTTGATCTATATCTGGTTCTCTTAACTTTCAATATTTTCTTCAGTGTTAGAAGCCAAAACCCAAAAGCTCCTACAAACTAGGACTTGAAAACAACTAAAAAACAAATTACGAATTAATCAGGTCAGTTTTCATTCCTTTATTTTAAAAAAATTTATTAATAAGCCCAACCAAAAGAGCATATAAAAAGAAACAAAACAATACATCACTTGGATTAAGTTTTCAGGTTTCTCAGATACCTCTCTCTTCTGGATATAATCAATACCAGAGGGAAAGATATAGTTCAATCACTCTGGGATCCTGGAAGCTGGATTTTGGCTTAGATTTGTTAAATAATTCCCCAACTGAAACAAAGGCCACACTTACCGCAAGCTCTTCTGTTCTATCTAGGAACCTGGGAAGAAGCAGAAGGGAGTAGGGCATTTTTATCTAGTTATGTGTGGCAGTATAACCTCACAAAATGGGGAGATTGTTCTATGAGAAACACAATCCAAACTCATTTCCTTCATTTATAAGATGAGCCCTTCTCTTCTTAAACTTTCTACTACCAGCAACCCCTTGAAAACACATGTGGATAGATGTCATTGTTTCTCTGTTCTTTCTAGCTGAAAGAGAAGCAAGGACAAGAAGGCACTGCAGAGTACTAATAGCTTTGTGATGTTAATGGGTCTGACAGAAAGGCTCAGAGTCTCCACAAAACCTACCCTAGCCCACAGTAACCTTGTTTTGTTTTGATTTTGAAAGATTAAAGCACTCTTCTCTGTCAATACAATCTTTTGTTTTCATATACAGAGTACAATGTATTTTATCTCCCCCAAAGGCTTAGGTAAAGCCTTGGCGCACAAGGACTTTGGTCTTCTGATTCCTCTTTACTCTGAACAGACAACTATCATTAACATCACTGCTCTGGCATGGAGGTGACGCTTGATAAAGCCTTCTTGATTGGGAAGGATGATGGGAGGGAGGAAGCAGCCTACTTCCATGAGCATGTCTTCTTTTGCAAATTCCTAGATAACCATCTGTAATCTTGACCCCAACCAAGTAACCCATTTCCCCACCTTAGTCTTTGGGACAGCTCATCACTGTGCTGGAGTCACTGGGTAACAGAGTTATCTTGGGCCACCTGTCAGTCTAAACAGATGTTCCAACCCGTTCCCTGACACTGAAGAAAGGACATAAAATAACATTTTAATCCAAGGGTGGAAAATAGTCTCCACTGATTGGAATGAGATAGGGAAGGAAATCATGATAGAAGACCACTCCCACCTCCTCCACCCCTAGAGAAATGCCTACCTCTCACCTATCAGAATATTACCTAACCTCATAGGCCCAGGTGAAATCCTAATCACTTCCATGAGGCTTTCTTCAGATATCCTGACTGAAAATTATATTTTCATCTTCTCTTCCACTGTACTTCTCACTGGCATCACTTGGGACCAATTCATAAAAGATACCTTTATTCTAGGTCTTCTATAAGAAAAGGCTTTATTAATATTAATATTACAGACTAAGTACTAACTCTCTTAATCTTCATAATGACTCTGTGTGGTAGATATCATCATCTCCATTTTACAGACATGAAAACTCATGCTTGGAGAGGTTTGGTAACTGGCTCAAAGTCACTCTATGAACTAAGGTGCAGAACCATTATTCGACCCAGGTGTGCTTGACTCCAGTGCCTGGTTCTTAACTACCCTTCTATAATTTCATCTTATCAAAGGACAGACTGTGGTGTATTTTTAGCTATTCCATGTTTCAATGTCTTATCTTCTATGTATTTCCAGAAAAGGAAAGTGTCTTCTATTTCTTTGTATTCCCCAGAGAGCTTTGAAAAAAGTACTTAATAAACTTCACAGACCAGACGATCAATTCTTACCTGAAGAGGTCTAAAAGCAGTTTTTGATCCCCTATTTCCTTAAGGAAGTGAATGAGATGTCTCAGGGCAACCTGTCGCACCTCCAGCTCTCGGAAGAGGATCTCTGGCAGGATTTAGGTAGAGAAGATAAAAGCCTATTACTCAAGTGTGAAATTGGTCTCCCTACTCACACATTCCAAACAATACCTCCTCAAAGCCTAGCAGAAGCTAAGACTGGTTTACCCCTATGTTTCAATCCACCATCTACACACTCTACAGTGTAGGACAACTCAAAGCCATTGAGTAAGCTTTTCAGTTCCCACCAACCCGAACAGCAGGCACTTAGCATGAACTCTGACTTCCTCAAACCAACGCAGCCATCTGTCTGTACAGACAGACAAACAGGGGATTCTGTGGTTAACATAGTTATCACCTTAAAGGATGCCTTCAGAGATGTGATGTGTGCTCTGAAGTCTCAGGCTACCCTAGCTATCTATAAAATAGACTTGATAGTGGTGAATTCCGGGATGAAAGCCACATGCCATTCTCCCCTCAATTGTAGCAGACACCTTGCTCACTGACGATTCCCCTCAGACCATGCTCACCTTTGCTCAGTGTCCTCTTCAGGAAGATCAGAACCTAGAGGAAAAGAGAAGAATGTGCAACCTTTCAAACGCAAAGCCCTGCCCTGAGCACCATGTGTCTAGGAATCAGGCCGGCAACTCAGGAATCTGCAGGTACAGACAAGAGATGTCTCTGTGTGATGGAAGAAAAGTGTGTCTTGGAGTCTGCATGCTGGTGCTCATACTGGCTGAGAGATACCTCCCTCTAAGAGAGGCTGCTCTCACATCTCTCCTCCCTCATATCATTTTTTATGATATAGAGTAGCCAACCTTCTGTTTCTTGTTTACAATCAAGAGTTCCACACACACTGCATGTCCCATCAGATGAGCCGTGGAGCACAGATTACTGAGAATTCTATTACTCAAAGAAAAATCCAGAATCTTTATTTGACATTCAACCCAAAATATTAGAGTCTATTTTGTTTAGACTTTCAGAAACTAATGAAAACATTAAACAAACAACGACGACAAAAATCCCACAACTCACTGCAGTGATGACGTTTCCATCATGCATGCTTACTGCCTCTTCTAGGAGTTGTAGCTTGTCCTGTAATGAGCGGAATCTTTCTAGTGAGCAGATCTGGCAGAATAAAAACAGAATTAGTGCATAAGGAAGAGGACAGTTTCCTATATTTCTTTGTCATTGGATACTGAAAATAGCCCACAATGAAAGGAAACGTCCCCAAGGAGAGCCACTTTATACTTGGCACTATGGTCTGCAGTATTTCATGAGATAGTACATTCCCACCACACCCTCTCTAGTTCCGCCTGCTGCCCTACAAGATGCTAATGTCCAGAAGTCTTGACAAAGTCAATGGACAGTGAGATCACTTGTTCTTCTTTTTAGTAAGGTATAATTTACATAAAATAAAATCTGTCCTATTTAAGTGTATAGTCTGTAACTTTAACGAGTATTTACATCCATGTATCCACTATCATAACAAAGACACAGAACATTTCCATCACCCCCAACAGTTCCCTTGTCCACTCTGATGTTAATGCCCTCCTCCCATCCCCATTCCCTGGCAACCACTCATTTGTTTTCGGTCACAATTCTTTCTAGAATTTCACAAAATATCATACATGTGTTGTGGCAAGTATCAATACTTTGTTCCTATTTATTAACAAGAAATTTTCCATTGTGTATTGATATACCACAGTTTATCCATTTACCTGCTGGTGAACATTTGGGTGGTTTCCACTTTTGGGGATTTAATAAAGCTGTTATGAATTTGTATACAAGTTGTTATATGGATATATGTTTTAATTTACCTTAGATTGTAAATATCTAGAAGTGAAATTGCTGGGTTGTATTATAATAATTACATGTTTAACTTCATAAGAAACTCCAGACTATTTTCCAAAGTAGTTTTACCATTTTACATTCCCACCAGCAGTGTATGAGAGTCTAGTTCCTTCACATCCTCCCAATGGTTGGTATGATCAGTCTTAAATTTAGTCATTCCAGTGGCTATATAGTGGTATCTCATGGTTTTAATTCACACTTTATTAATAACTATAATGTTGAACATCTTTTCAAGTGCTTATTGGCCATTGAGTGTCTTCTTTTGTGATGTGTCTGGTCAAATCTTGTGCCAATTTTTTATTAGATGGCCTGTCTTGTTATCACTGAGTTATAAGAGTTCTTTATATATTCTGGGTAAAAGTCCTTTATAATATATGTGTTTTGCGAGTATTTTCTCCCAGCTATGATGGCCTTTTCATGTTTTTAATAGTGCTGCCAAAGAATAAAAGTTTTTAATTTTGATAAAGTCCATTTATCAATTTTTTCTTTTATAGTCCATGCTTTTTATGTCCTAGGTAATAAATCTTTGCATAACTCAAGTCACAAAGATTTTTACCTATATTATCTTCTACAAGTTTCATAGTTTTAGCACTTAGTTTAAGTCTACAATCCATTTTGACCCATTAATTACTATGATGTGAATTCCCCCCAAATTGGTGTATAGATTCAATGCAATCCCAATCAAAATTCCAGCAGCTCTTTTGTAAACCTGATACTAAAATCTATACGGAAATATAAAATATCCAAAATAGGCAAAACAACTTGGAAGAGAACAAGTTGAAGGTTGAAAGTTTCAACAAAGTTGAAGTTACCTGATTTCAAGATTTACTACAAAGCTATAATCAAGACTGTGGCACTGGCATAAGGATAGAGAAATAAATCAATGAATAAAGAATCCAGAAATAGACCTGTACACATATGGTCAACTGATTTTCAACAAAGGCACCAAGGTAATTTAATGGGGAAAGGACACTCTTTTCAACAAATAGTGCTGAAACAAATGAAGATCAACATGGCAGAAAAAAAAATGAACCTCACCCTTACCTTACAACATATACAAAAATTAACTCACAACGGATCACAGACCTGAACATAAAATATTGCTCTGTTTTTTTTTCTGGTGGCTGGCCAGTAAGAGGATCTGAACCCTTGACCTCAGTGTTATCAGCACCACACTCTAACCAAGTGAACTAACTGGTCAGCCAAAATTAAAATTTCATAATTTTGTTTGGTTTTCTTTGTTTTTGGGGGATTTTTTGTTTTTGGTGGCTGGCCAATACAGGGATCCAAATCCTTGACCATGGTATTAAAACACCATGCTGTAACTAACAGGCCAGCCCTGCTCTCACTCTTAACTGTACTTTTCCCTCTCATCCATCACTCTTTCCCCACTAATCCATCAAAGCAACACTAAACCCTGGAGAGTCAGAAACTTTACAGCTAACCTTTTTTTTTTTTTTTTGTCCTTTTGAGACTGGCCGCACTGCGCTCAGCCAGTGAGCGCTGTGAGCACACCAGTCATCCCTATATAGGATCCGAACCCGCGGCAGGAGCGCTGCTGCACTCCCAGTGCCGCAGCTCCCGAGTGTGCCACGGGCTCGGCCCTACAGCTAACTTTTGAGCTTAGTGGAATTATTATCCTCCTGAAAATGACTTCATTTAACAAATGGGAACTGAAGAAAGAGGTCAAGAAATCCTCCCTGTGGGAACACGCTGCCCAGATTCCAAAAAAATCCCACAAGAATTGTCTCTCCAGTGACTTTACCTTGCCCTTCCGAAGGCGTCGCACTGTATCACTGGGGCTCCAGTCATTGCTGTAATCCTGGAATATTAGCAATACGTGAATGTCAGGAAGTTAAGGGATCAGAATTATCAGTGTTATCAGTGTTCCACCTCCTCACCTCAAACTCATAGTTCTTAGTCTCTAAGGGGGAAAGATTTTGTGCAAGGGAATGGATGAAGAAAAAATGAAGAACTGCGATGATCCTGTTTTGAGTTTCTGAAGAAACTAAAGCAGGAGCAATACAGGCAAAAGGAGATGGATCAAAGAAGGACAACCAATTGACAAAACCAGTAACCCTATGCCAACTGGCTCAGGATTTCAACCTCTAGACGCAATCAGAGTCACATTTTGGGATCCTAATAATAAATTCCATTGGCCAACAGAAGGAAAGAGAGACATTTGATACTTTTTCCTTTTCTGACTTAGAATATAGTTTCTTCCTTGTGAATTAATTTGTTTTATATGTTTCATGGGAATACGACCTCCACCAAGCTTCCAGACTGCAATGATGATCACTGAGTTTCAAAGTATAGTCTTCAAAAGGCAGCATAATAGGTAAGGAAAGTATGCTAGGACTGCATCAGAAAGTAGAGATTTTTAGTCCAAGTTCTACCCTTTCTTCACTGTGAGACCCCATGCAAGCCCTAATATTTAGAAACCCAGTTTTCTTATCTATAAAAGGGAGTAAAAATAATACCTGCTCAAAGAGTTGGGAAAATCAAGCAAGATAACATATGTCAAGGTACTTTATACTGCGTAAAGTGTCATACTAGTGTAAGATATAACTCACCCTATACTCCCCCTTGGGTCTCCCCAGCTCTGGAGCATAGCTTTTGGCAGGTGTGTCTGACAGAGCTGAAAAAGAACAAGCAGCTGGTTCTGAAGGATACTCTGAGTCCTGCTTCATCATTCCTTTCCTCTACTGCTTCCTTCTTACGCACATTTTTTTGACTGTGGGCTCCCAAGGTATCTTTATGGCCAAAAGTAGATCTCAGTTCTTCCCCAAAGACAGCATCCCTAGAAGTCACCCATTGCCCCTGTAGCCAGAATGATTTCTACATCAGTATCAGAAAATGTCTCTAATAATGATGGTAGATTCAGAATTAAGCTCATCTACTCATTTAATTACCACTGTCCCAATGATTTCCAATACCATACCCCAGATCAGTAACATCTCCCACAGCAATCAAGAGAAGAGGCTACAATGCCTACCATCTGAAAGGAACTGGAAACTTCCAGGTCGGGTTCTACCTAGAAGACCAAGAGAGGGAAGAGGTCAACAATTCAAGTCAGAGCCATCCAGACTTGGTTAAGAACACAGTGTATACAGAACCTTATTATGCAATAGGGGAACTTAACACTTAAAAAATCTTGTATTCAAGTTCAGAAATCCGAGGTGCCATTTAAAAAAAGGGCAAGAAGAAAAAATTTCAAGTTGTAGTAAAATATACATAGCACAAAATTTACAATTTCAGCCATTTCTACATGTATAATTCAGTGCTATTAAGTACATTCACATCGTTGTAGAACCATCACCACTATCCATCTCCAGAATTTTTTCATCACCCCAAATTGAGACTAAACAATAACTCTCCACTCTCTCTCCCCCAGCCCTTGGTAACGACCATTCTACTTTCTGTATCTATGAATCTAACTATTCTATGTACCTCACATAAATGGAATCATACAATATCTGTTCTTTGTGTCCTTATTTTATTTAGCATAACGTCCTTTAAGTTCATCCGTGTTGTAGTATGCACCACAATTTCATTCCTTTTTAAGGCTGAGTAATATTACATTACATGTACATACCACACTTTGTTTATCCATTCATCTGTTAATGAATGGATGTGCGTTGTTTCCAATTTTTGGCTATTATGAATAATGCTGCTATAAACACCTGTGTACAAATATTTGTTCAAGACCTTGGTTTCAATTCTTTTTGGTATATACCTGGAAGTAAAATTGCTGGATCATATGGTAATTCTATATCTAATTTTTTGAGGAAATGCCATACTATCTTTCCCAGTAGCTGCACCATTTTACGTTCCCACCAACAATGCACAAAGGTTCCCACTGCAGTGCACAAGAGGTAGGGAAGAATTTTGATCTAGGCAAATTTCTTTAGTACCTGTCACAGGGTTAATGTCAATTTTGTTCATCATGTTCTAGAAATCTAGTCCAACTCTCTTCCCCAAAATTTCTCTCATTTCTCTGATTCCTAATATCCAGTTGCCAGCTCCAGTGATAATTCTTTATCATTCAATAATCCTTTTCTCTAAAGTAAATGAAAATTATAGCCTGAGTATTTTACTCAAAAAAGAAAAGGAGGACTTCCCTGTCCCTTTAACCATCACTCTTTACCTCTAAAAAAGCTACTCAGGGAGTAGGTAGAAGTAGGTTTGGGTAGTTGTGCATAGGAGGAGAAGCTGTTTCGGCTCTTTAGCTGTTCACGTCCCTCATGTGTAGACCCACTATTACCAGCAGTCTCTCTGATGGACCATGAAATACCTGTGAGACAGTAAGAACTAAACCAGTAATTCTCATCCTAAGTAAATCTTGACATCCAACATTCAACAAACTCTAAAATCTTTCACTAGGCACCCTGGTCCCTTGGCTAACATGCAGCAGGAAGAAAAGATAAAACGAATAGACTAATCAACAGAAAAATGGGCAAAGGACATGAATAAATGGGTCACAGAAAAGGAAATTCAAATGGCTTTTAAACATTTGAAAAGATGCTCACTCTTAATAAGCGTATCACAAATTAAAACTACAATAAAATATCATCGGACCTCTATAACATAGGAAAAGATCCAAAAGCTTGATAATACCCTGTGTTGGCAAGACTGTGTAGAAACAGGAACCCTCTTAAGTTGGGTGGTAGTACAAATACAAATTGGTACAACCCCTGTGGAGGGTGATTTGCTAATATCTATTCAATACAGATGCAAATATCCTAGGCCTGTAATTCCACTCTTAAGAATTTATCTTTCATTTACTCATATATGGTCAGAACACAATATCATTGATAGGAAATAAACAACAAGATTGGAAACAATCTAGAGTTCATCAATAGAGGACTGATTAAACAAATTATGGTAAATCCATACAATGTAATACTACACTGCTACTTAAAAAAAACAGAGAGAGAATGAGAAAACTCTTTGTATACTGATATGGGAAGATCTGCAATCTATATTATCACATAAAAATAGCAAGATATAAAGTATGCTACTGCTTGTGTAAAAAACAGGGTAAGAATATATATTCCTATATGCATTGCAAATGCAAAAAGAATCTTTAGATGAATACACAGGAAGCAAGCAACAGTTGTTATTTTGAGGGAGAGCAGGGACTAAGAACTGAGAAGATTCATAACAGTGTGGAAGGGAAACTTTTCACTGTATACATTTAACACATTTTTTATTTTTAAATTGTATTACAGTATTTCCTATTCTAAAAAAACTTTTAATTAGAAATATTTCGGGTTGGCCCGGTGGCGCACTGGAGAGTGCGCCGCTTGGGAGTGCAGCGGCGCTCCCGTGGAGGGTTCGGATCCCATGTGGAGACAGGTTCCCGCTCACTGGCTGAGCGCGGTGCGGGCGCAACACCGAGGGTTGTGATCCCATTGCCCGTCCCCGGTACGGGCGCAACACCGAGGGTTGCAATCCCGTTACCAGTCAGTAAAAAAGACAAAAAGGAAAAAAAAAAAATATTTCTAAAAAATAAGATGGATTCTGCAGAGGTATTAAGTGGTAATTATATAACACTAGGCTGTGAGACTTGCTGGCTAAGGAAGTCAGTTCTGCCAACCAGTTATGAGTATTTAAGTCAGTAGTTCCCAAATACGATTACATATTACAATCACCTGTAGTGCTTATTAAAAATTGAGAGCCCTCATCCCCCCAAGAACCACTGAATCAGAATCTCTGTGGTAAAGTCCAGGGATCTGCTATTTTAACAAGCATCCTAAATGAGTATGAAGTAGCCAGCCAAGCAAACCTAAAGACCCATATATGAATTACTGCTGTATTCCCCAAGTGTCTTCTGCTGGGGTTAAATTTCTGGATGTATGATCATGTGAAAATAGCCTAACCTCATTCCCTTTCCTGACTAGCATTGTGGAGACAACAAGAGGAGCCTTCACTAGTAACAAGAACCCTGAATATCAATCCCATCCTAGAGCCTCTTCTACTTACTTCCCACAGGTTCCCCACTCCAGCTGACTCGTTCCAGGTCTTCATCATCATCATCATCATCCACGAAGTCTCGAAGGCTATTCACTGCCTGCTTGGATTCCTTTAACTGCACAGGGACAGAAGACAGGGCACTCAAGCAATCATTGCTCCCCACCAAGAACTGGAACTTGAAGATGGCCAACACTTTCACCCTCTGCAATCTCAAGCCAAGCCTATTAGATATTTGCAAAGAAAATAAATTGCTTTTCAGCCAACACTGCAGTTCAGAGGCAAAAGAGTTAGGAGAAACCAAAGCCACTTTTGAGTTCTAATCATATTCCTGGCAATGGCTTGCTGTGTAAACATGAGTGAATTTAAAGCCTCTTTTGAGTTCAAATCATATTTCTGGCAATGACTTGTTGTGTCAACCTGAGTGAATTTATTCACTTCTCCAAAAATGAATTTGTTTCCCAATCTGTAAAATAGATACAATAAAGGTGAATCTTTATCTTTAAAAATAATAAATATATCACATGAATAAAAAACTTGGAGTTCTTTTTTTTTTGTCCTTTTTGAGACTGGCCGCACCGCGCTCAGCCAGTGAGCGCACCTGCAGTCATCCCTATATAGGATCCGAACCCGCGGCAGGAGTGCTGCTGCGCTCCCAGCACCGCACTCTCCCGAGTGCGCCATGGGCTCGGCCCTGGAGTTCTTAAAAAAAAAAATCTGAAAGAAAAGAATCATGTTAAGAAGGTAAAGTAAGAAGGGCAGAGTTGGTTTTTAACAATCCTTCTGGCTCTTTCCTGAAGGATTTTCTCCATAAAGGTTCTTCTGAAGCTCTGACCCAAAACATTTCTGAGCCTAATAGAGACATGGTCAAAAGCCAGGTTACCCAGGACCTAAGGGGATGGAATTTTAGAATGGCCCAGTGGAGGAGGGTGTGACCTTCAGCAACTGTAGAAACCTACCTGTGAGAGCTCATCATCTTCGTCATCAAAGGTGAAAGCCTTGAACTTGGAGCTGTTCCAATACTCCTCCTCATCACCCTTTGTCCAACTCATCTGGAGTGGGAGGAAGACAGACACATGTCCCTTTCTGGGCCCTCCCCCCAAAAAGAGCTCCAAAAGCTTTAGATTCCTTCATTCCTAACTGCCCCTAGAAATCAGGAATGTAGGAAAAAATCTAATAAAGCAAATATTGAACCTGCCATATAAAATCAGATCCTTGCATCTCCAACTAATCAGGTCTTACTTTTTTTTTTTTTTTTTTTTTTTTTTTTTTCCGGGCCCGGCAACGGATCGCAACCCTCAGTGTTGCCCCCATACCGGACAGGGGACCGGCAACAGGATTGCAACCCTCGGTGTTGCTCCCGCGCCTCGCTCAGCCAGTGAGCGGGAACCGGTCTGTATGTGGGATCCGAACCCTTGGGCGGGAGCGCCGCCGCGCTTCCCAAGCGGTGCACTTATCCAGTGCACCACCGGGCCGGCCCCCAGGTCTTACTTTTGATGCTATAATTACTCACTAGTAATCACTCATTCTTAGAGCATCTGCTTTGTTCAAGGAACTCTCTCAGGAGTTATAAGGGATATAAAAAAGTACAAGACACAGTACAATGTACAATGTACAAAGAAGATCAGTCAAAGCATGCATAAAATGTAAGAATTGCATTCATGCATTCAACATATATCTATTGGGCCGGCCCATGGCTCACTCGGGAGAGTGCGGTGCTGATGACACCAAGGCCCCGGGTTCGGATCCCATGTAGGGATGGCAAGTTGGCTCATTGGGTGAGCGTGGTGTTGACAACACCAAGTCAAGGGTTAAGATCCCCTTACCGGTCATCTTTAAAAAAAAAAAAAAAAAAAAAATACATATATATATTAAGTGCTGCCTCTGAGGCACTGTTCTAGGCTCTGGGACTACTACAGTAAATAAAACTGACAAATATCCTGCTCTCATGTATGCTCTTTAAATGCATGAAAGAATAAGAGCAAAGCAATTAAAAGAAACAGAATTACCTTGCCTGTATCTTCAAATCATGATTATTTCATTAACGACCACTGACCAAAATTTGGGAAATGAGGGACCAGCCAAGAAAACAAAGTATATAAAAAATTAGTCAAAAGAACATAAGTCCTTCTCATAACTAACTACTCTAAAATTAAATTTCACCTTGCAAAAAAAAGTTTTGCCCTATCAATGCCAAGTTAATTACAGTGAAAACTGTGATTTAATCCAAGAATAAGGTACCAAAACTTCCACAGCACCAAAATTAACTCCAAAGGCCATGCCATACAGCATCAAATTCTAAAGGATCATTTTGCTTTTCCTTTACTTATTTATTTTTGGGGCAGCTGGCCAAACCCTTCACCTTGGTGTTATAACACGACACTCTAACCAACTGGGCTGACTGGCCAGCCCTGCTTTTCCTTTTATTTTGACAGCATCTCAAAAGCTTGAGAAACACTCATTATGGTAGCCCTGCTGAGGCTTCTGATGGACCTTAATATACTCTACTCTCAGTTCCTGACTCTGTTTTCAACTTTGGGGATATAGGAATGGCAAAGGTATGGTGGGTATATTATCTGGTCCTTTCCCATGGCAGACATCACTAATTGATTTCTGCTGAACCCAGATGTGGCTTAAAAATCTTTTTCTGTATTTAATTCTAGGGAGTCAAAACCAAATAAAAAAGATGGCAGATACATCGGACTCAGGAAACAAAGTGCCTAGCAGAAAGTAAATACTAAATGCTAGTTCCCGTTTGTATCGGATATCTTGCTGACATCTTTCTGTCTTAAGTTTCCTTATCCAGGAAATAGGCATGACCTAACTTGTAGGATTGTTATGAGGATTAAGCCAGTCAATATATGGAAAGTACTTAATGCCTGACACAAAATTAATGCTCAATATTAACTTTTATCATTAATAAATTATCCTGTTGGGCCGGCCCGTGGCTCACTTGGGAGAGTGTGTTGCTGATAACACCAAGGCCCCGGGTTCAGATCCCATATAGGGATGGCCGGTTAGCTCAATGGGTGAATGTGGTGCTGACAGCACCAAGTCAAGGGTTAAGATCCCCTTACCAGTCATCTTTTAATAAATAAATAAATAAATTATCCTGTTACCTTGGAAAAAGCTAGAAAAATATTTTTAATCAATCGTAAAGATTTAAAAACATTAGTTTACTACAAAAATCCTGAGAATGGCAACAAATACTGAACATCTGTATAGAATGTATAAATATTTCTGGTGCGCCACTTTTTATAAAGCACTGTCATTCACTCGATCCTTAGAACAATCCTGTACAGTACGCCTGGCAGATTCCATTTCCATCTCACTGATTAGGAAAATGAGGCACAAAAGGATTCAGTTCCAAAGCCACTTTATAATCGCTCCTATTCCAAACTACAATCCAGGTTTTCTGGCTCCTAGACCATTTCTACAGTCTTGTATGGACCTACTACCTATTTTTCATTCTCGGGAAAACTAGGGCAGATCATTCCTTCACTATAATAAATATCTACAGATAGGCATAGAATGTGTCTAACAGACCCAATAATCCACCAGAGGATTTCTGGAATCCTTTTTTAACCATGCAATGGCAGTGGACACTGGACACCAGTTTGTACTTCTAGTGTCAAATGAGAAGCTAGCTTTACTTGTCAAGTAAAGGGATAATGACTTAATGGCTCTAGAAGTTATTAAGCAATCAGGTGCAATATTAAGGGTGACTGCGAAAAGTGATTCAACATGATTTAAAATTTTTCAGAGGCTTGTCCTAATCGTGAACTGTTTACTGAGAGCCCACAAGGTAGGGTGATAAATCTGAAGGGAGCAGGAACATGACGTAGGACAACAGAAGGATCAGCAAAAATACCCACAACCAAGACGCTCCCTGCCTCAGGACACTCCAGAACCAGCGACTGAGAAATCAGTCTCGGTTTCAGTTACCGTCTTCTGAGCCAGGCCGACACAGGGGAAGCTTGTGAACAGAAACCAGGGAACGTGGGTTAAGCTAGGATGACTCTAAAGGCGAAACGTCCAGGAAGCCACAGCTCTACCGCAGTCGCCGGGCCCGGCGGATCCCGGGTAGAGTCAGCGCGTTCAGAGCCAAATGTCCACCTGTGGACCAAACGTGGACGCTCACTCGCAGCCCCAACCCCGAGCGTACTTCGGTTTCCAAAAGTCGCCCCGTCGGAAGAAGAGAGTCAAGAGCGGAGGGAGGGGGAAAGAATAAGGATGTGGAGTCGCCAGACTCAGCCAGATACGCTGCCCAAGGGGCTTAGGACACCCTCACCTCTTCCACACCGAGCCCTCCCTCTCAGGACAGCGCCGGCCTCCGCCGCCGCTGAGCCAGCTTTTTCAGTCAGTCTGTGCGGCATAGAAAAGGGGCGGAAGCGGGTAGTCGCGCGGGGGTGCGGGCGACGGAAGCGCACGGAAAAGAAAGAAGCCGCAGGACATGTCGGAAGTTGTAGTTTTTTCTGCCTCCGCCGTCAGGGGCAGTCCCGATGGCCTACAGGGCTTCTTGACTACAGACCCCAGAACCCCCAGCACACCATGCTAGGTCATTTCCTTTACTGTCAGTGCGACCTTCTGCCATTGTCTAGCGGGTGCCTTAGCAAGACTACAACTCCCATGAGGCTCAGCAGGGCCAAGGTAGGGTCTAGGGAAACAATGAGACGTGTTCTTTGTGTCATTACGGGTGAGGAATGATCGTGTGAGGGGTTAGGTTTCGGGCCCCTTGGGGGATAACGTGAGGGAGCCTGAAGGAACTCTAGAACTGGCGAAACCTAGGGAACGGCGAGTTGGAACGGAAGTAGGCAGTGGGAGTGGGGAGGAGCCGGAAGTTAAGGCGGGGAAGTTGGGTTGGGGTGGAGGGAAAAGCAAGCCAGGAGGTGTTGCGGCCGCTTCTAGTAGTTTCCAGGCGCTACTGGGCGGCTGGCACCAAGCGTTCCTGAGGCTGTGGCTGCGGCTGCTCGGGAGCTGGTGGCGGTGCGATTGGAGAGCCGATGGCCAAGTGGGGTGAGGGCGACCCACGCTGGATCGTGGAGGAGCGGGCGGACGCCACCAACGTCAACAACTGGCACTGGTGAGGGCCAGCAAGGCAGGCCGCCGTAGCGCTGCTGTCGAGCTAGGGTTTCGGGGTTCCTGGAACCTCGGCCCGGACAGAGGTGGGGCGGAGGCAGCCCTGCCCGGAGATGGGGGTGGGTCTTTATTGTGGCAGGAGCCAGTAGCCCCAGGCCTCTGCAAGCCCCCGGCCACCGTCTCAGTGTTTGGGGCGAGAGGGTCGACGTGTGGAGGGCTGTGCCCCAGGAGAGGGGTTTCAGAGAGGTGAGAGTATGACGCCGGAGCTGCTGCATCCAGCCTGAGCCGGGGAGATGCTTCCTACACGTGGCCGGAGGAGTCACTGAGACCTGAGCCTCCTTCGATTGTGTTGGGAGATTGTTGTGGAAAGCTCAGGGCCGTGGAGCTGTAATTCCTATTTGGGGATTTACAGTGAAATTTGAAGTCGGTCATAGGGGACCACCGTCTCAGTCCCCCAGGCCAAGGTTTGGAACGTGTTCCGCAGTTGCTCAGAGTGCAGTGAGGCTGAAGACTCTGCGGCCTCTCAGCCGGAAGTATTATTAAGTTGGTTGTGGAGTAACTGCAGGTTGCCAGGCAATCACGGTTTTTATATCCCGACCTTTCATAAGAGCCTGCCCTCCTCTACGAAGTGTTCTAGACGTAATGTTTCCTCATCTTTGAAGTCCACTGAACTTCGTTCATGCTGTTTACTGTATTTTTACTTTGTTGCAGCTCTTTTTGCTGTTACTTTCTCTGATAGTTAATAAGTAGGAAGGCAGATAGTGATTTTACTTCCCATATCTCAGTCTGTCTAATCTCCTCTTAACATACCCAGAGTACTTGACCTAATTTTTGTTGTTGTTTTGAAGTCCTGGGCTTAATGATTTTGTGGCCATTTAGAGGGTATAAAATGCCTACGGCGTTTATAGCACAGTTTGAATCTGACTGGTCAGAAAACTGCTAATGAGGTCAAGGTTATCGTTTATTTCTTACTGGGCCTTTTAGCTGAATACCGTGTTCCATTGTCCTGTCTGCTCCTGACCCTTCAGCAACATGTGCACAGTTTTCCACTTGATCAAATGGGGGCGCCATGTTGAAGTGTCGAGTAATTCCCATCACCATCAGGCTGAGAAAGGAGAGCATAATTTTCCATTTAGTTATACATCATTCTATACAGCAGTTGTCTTTGTTGACAATATGCACCACTTTGTCTTCCTAAAAGAAAAGAGAATGCCATGTTTGTGGACATACTGGAGTCGGACCAAAAGTTTTGTATTCTTTTCAAACTGTTGGTTAGGTCTCCTTTAACCTTGCCTTCACTTGCATAGAGCAATGTATCCTCCATTTGAATGCTGGTCCATAGCTTTCTTTCTGTTTTGCAGGACGGAGAGAGATGCTTCAAACTGGTCCACAGATAAACTGAAAACACTGTTCCTGGCAGTGCAGGTGCAAAATGAGGAAGGCAAGTGTGAGGTGACAGAAGTGAGTAAGCTTGATGGAGAGGCATCCATTAACAATCGCAAAGGCAAACTTATCTTCTTTTATGAGTGGAGCATCAAACTAAACTGGACAGGTAAGTCTAAACTGGACCATCAGGGAAGAAGTTAACTGCATTTTGGTTGACCCATTAAGGTACTAAAGAGAATAGTTTTTGAGCAGTTATGAAGAAAGAACACAAATAGTGCTGCTTTGGAGTCCTACGTAAAGCAGTATTGACTGCTGAAATCTCTCTGCCACTGTGGAACACTGATTGGATTTCCTCTCTGGGTCTCATGCGTCCCCATCAGTGAAATGGCTGGGTCCCTGCATCTTTGGGTCTTGGTCTGTGTTGGGACACATAAAGTGATGTTTCCTCAGACTAGCTACATCTGTCTTGTTAATGATTTAACAGAAGGAAGGGAGGCTTTTTTGGTCTTCATCTTTTTTTTTTACTCTCTCCAGTGTGAATATAAGAGGTTAGGCCACTGTGATAATGAAGCTTGTATGTGACTATAACTTGGGGCTGTTTCAATCTATCTTTCTGTGATTACATTAGAAAAGAATTGAGGCCATGAGTATGCACCACTTGGATAGTCCTAATAGTTGGGAGGCTGAATTTTAAAAGGCATTCTAACTTAAAGGAGTATGAGATAGCTACTGTCTGTGTATGGGGCAAAGCATGAAGTAAATTTATGCTTCAATAAATATTTCTCAGGTGAATGGTAATACAGAGGGTGAAAGTAGATATGTCTGCCCATGATGTTTATTTATTTGTTTGTTTTAGTAAAACTAAAGCGTAGTAGTCTGGAAGGAACCTTAGGTACTGTCTTGCCCAGTCCTCTTTTTATAGATTGAGAAACTGAGGCTTAGAGGAGTGAAGGTAAATGTTAATTAATTTTGAAATAGTTGATTCTGCTATAGCTCACCCTATGTGTTCCTAAAAAATCATCACACTATGCAAAATTTTTCAACGAATGCCATAGGACTAATAGGGGGGATGGGATTAGGCACACAAAACCCAAAAACATCAGTGACACATTTTTTAAAATACAGGAATTACCAGCCAGACACCAATAAATAAATATAGGAACTTAAAATTGGTAGCACCGTTTTACAAATGCTGAATAGTAAGAAATACATAAATACTACAGTAAATGCGGTGCTTCACCTGAAAAAGACCTGAAGCTTACTTGTGGAGGTGGACATCAAAAGGGTTGCAGCTTGAGAGCTATTGTGAAGTGGTGATAGGAGGGTCATCTGAAATCAGGAGGAATGTTGCAACACCAGATGTGGATGCATGTGGCTTATAACACATGGGGTGAACTGAGGTCATTGGCAGATGTTTGAGATGTGTGTGTTCTGTGTATTCCTGTGCAGCTGGGTGTGGTTTTCTGTTCACCTAAAGAGAGAGGTCTGGATGAGATCACATATGAGGGTGCTTCAAAAAATTCATGGAAAAATAGAATTGATAGGTAATATGAATCTTTCCATGAACTTTTTGAAGTACCCTGGTATAAGCAAACATGAAGTTCTCATTATGACCAAATCTTTGCCTAATATTTCAGTGGCATTGGAGTAAATTCATATTTTCAAAACAGATACCCTAGGGGCCGACCCTGTGGCGCACTCGGGAGAGTGCAGCACTGAGAGCGCAGCAGCGCTCCCGCCGCGGGTTCGGATCCTATATAGGGATGGCCGGTGCGCTCACTGGCTGAGCGCGGTGCGGCCAGTCACAAAAAGGACAAAAAAAAAAAAAAAAAAAAAAAAAAACTC